TAAAAATCTAAATAACAATAAAAGAAGTCTGATTTCTTTTCCTCTGAGAAGTTACTTTAAAATACAAATAATAAATCTGTTTTTTCTATCTTTAGGAAATGTCCGAAGAACAACCGGGGTCGCCGGCAAAAGCAAAACCTGGGACACTTTCCCTCGGACACGAACTCCCGGATGGTATAGCCGAGTCGTCCGGGGCCTTTTTTTAAAACCTTTTTTCTTACGCCGTGGGAACACCATTTTTTTAAACGGTAGATGTTTGGTATTTAGTTTTTTCCTCCTGGGAAACCGTAAAAAAAGAAGAAGAATGAGAATATTTATTTAAAGGGCCTTACTTACTTTCCCTCCTTTTTCATTTTCATTTTTTTTGGATGGAAGTCAATTTTCTTTCTTTGCCGGAAGAACAAGGACGCGAATCTTCAAAACCCCCCGCTGTCACTTTACGTTGTTACCGTGTCTTAATTACTAAATGCTTTATGAAAAACGGTACTTTTAGTAACTGGGAAACGTCCGCCCCTCTTGAATGTGCTATTTATTGTAAAATGTTTATTTCTACGCCCCTGTTTTACTAACGCTGTGCAGCTGATCACCAAATGCAGTTTGTTTTCTAATTGAAGGAGTTTGTGGCCGGCCAGTGATACAGAAATGTTTATACTTTATTCTCTAAAGACGTCACTGTGTTCCAACAAGCTAATAATTTATTACTATTCTAATGATTCCTTTAGAGTAGCTTTTGTTACTTTTGTTTAAAATAATTATACTAGTTCCTGTATATATATCCGCATGACTTGTGAAAACTGTGTACTGTGGTGTTGTTTCAAACCTTTTTAAAAAGAAGAACTCAACGCCTCCTCGTATTCAGAGAAATTCGGAGATGGACGTCTAAAAGATTCGGACTGATAAACGGAGGACGATGAAAGGGGGAGGTTTACGATGTTTCTGAAGAAAGCAATGTTTAAAGTTTGGGATTAACTGTCTGAAAATATGAAAAAGAAAAGCAGAAGTGGGAAACATTGGAGAACGTTCTTCTGAAAGACAGGTTTGTGTTGATTCCAAGGAATGTTTTTGCATCTTCGTACGAAATACTTAAATTCAGAGGATTGTAAAGGAAGTGTTTCGCCTGCTTTGAGGTTTCAAAGACTGCGAATTGTTGTTTTTTATGTAATTGGGAGAACACCTTGGGTTGCGGAGATGGCTGTAATCAAGGTTTATCTTTGAATGTGGGAGAAATATTGCGTCTTTTTCTACTTTTGTTGGTTTTAGTTTTTGCATTTGCTCCGCAGCGAGACATTCCAAGCACATAAAAAAACCTATAGTATAAAAAGATGTCGGTACAAATATGACTTTAACCCCCGTTCCCTTCTGGTACAAACATGTGGTGAGCTTGTTGTCCAGCAGGAAACACCAGAATGAAGAGTAGAAGTGGGAAACATTGGAGTACGTTGTTCTGACACTCATGAGGAACAGGTTTGTGTTGATTTAAGAAAGGGATGTTTTTGCGTCTTCGTACGAAATACCGAAATTCAGAGGATTGTAAAGGAAGTGTGTGTTTTGAGGTTTCAAAGACTAAATGGTTCTTAAACGATGTTATGTAACTGGAGAAAGTCTTGGTTGCAGGGATGGCTGTAATCAAGGCTTTTCTTTGAATGTGAGAGAAATATTGCATCTTTTTTTGTTGTTGTTTTGCATTTGCTCCAAAGGCGAGACATTCCAAGCACAGAAAATCTGATGATAATAGAACAAAAAAAAATCACTTTACGATACATATATTACTTAAAGACCCTTTTGTTATTAATTTACATGATAAATTAAAAAGTGAAGACAGACAAATACTGTATGTAGAAAGTCAACAGGAGCAACCCACAGGAACTTCACATCTGATGAGTGACGGTGTTTTGTTCCTTGTTGTTTTAATCTGTATGTGATGGTATGACGTTTTGTGCGTTTTATTTCAAAGTCTATGTACGAGGATCAGGGCCACATTGTTTTTTTTAGTTCAGAGATTGAAGTCTGCTTCTGAGGAAATAAGTCAGAACTTTTTTTCGCAGAATTTTGAGACAAATGTCAACATTTTTGAGGAATAAAAGTGGAAAAAAAAGTAATTTCAGAATTTGGAGAAAAATAGTCTGACATTTTTATCCTATGATTTTTGAGAAAAAGCTGAAAATTCTGGGGAACAATTTTTTTTCTTTTTCGCAAAGTGCTCAGATCAAAAATAAATCAACATTTGGAGAAAAAAAGGTTTGGAAAATTTTGTTTTCAAATTTTGAGAAAAAAGTTACAAAAAATTGAGAAAAAGTTTTTCTAAGAATTTTTAGAAAAAAGTTAAAATTATTTTTCTCCAAGTTTTTCAGAAAAAGTCGAAGTACGAAGTACTTTTCCCAGGAATAGTTCCGATAGTTCTTGTTTTTTTGCGATCAGACCAAAAAGCCCCGCCCACGTAAAACTCTTTTGTGAAGCCGCCATTTTATTTTCTCGCATTAGCATTATTAGCATTAGCATTAGCCCAGCGCACCAACGGAGAGAGACTAACTTATGGCAACACAAAAGAAAACATGTGAGCGGTGGAGATGAGGAGGTGTCGGCGTTCTGGCGATTTACTCTGACGACGCGACCCAACAGCTTCTACTGAAGCCTGTCCCCAACTCCGGGGGGCTCCGGGTGGCAGTATGCGCCGGGAAGTTGTTTGCGGCCTGCCAGTAAACCCAAAGCAGAAGAAGAAGTGATGTCAGCGGCTTCATTTGCGTAATCCTCCCTCAGGGACTTATTCCGTTGTGAACGCGATCTACTAGATAGTTCCAGGAACTGCAGAGTTCGGGGGGACTAAGTAATGGGAACTAAGCACCGCAAAGTACTTGGTGTGAAAGCGGCTAATTTCAGAATTTGTTTGATTGAAGGCTTTTGAGAAAAAAGTCAAAGATCATCGAAAAAAAATCTGATTTTTCTTCTTTTTTTTTACTTCTGGTCAGATCTAAAAAAAAAGTGTCACATGTGGCCCTGATCCTCTTCTATAAAAGCCCCATCGTTTTCTTTTGGAAATGACCCACAAGTGTTCGTGTCACCATGCAGTGATGAAAGAGAGTAATTCAGACGCAGCATCCCTTTCCACTTCATCCAGACTCCATGTTGTTGTGAAAACATACACGTTTTTGAACGAAGAGTCTGAGGCTCGTTTGCTGTCGATGTTTATCTCTTTTATTTTCTGACAGGAGTTTGTGTAAAGTGTTAGTCTAAAGGTCGTAGGTCAGCCGCCCCTGAGCAACGTGTTTCTTCGTGTTGTCGAACCATCGCAGCCGTGACTTCTCTAAATGTGACTAGAATGTGTTTGACATGTTAATATTCTGCATGTAGACTTCCAGAGGCTATTTTTGGTCTCTGCCAAAATAAAAAAGGAAATGTTTTTTTAATGTACCCCCGAGTGCCGATGTGTCATTTGAGTGAAGAGAAGCTTTGAAAAAATTACTTTTATTTTCTCCTGCGGGGGTTTTTGTTTTCCTGTCTGTCCTCCTAGGCCTCATTTTTCAGCATATTCCAGTGTGTGTGTGTGTGTGTGTGTGTGTGTGTGTGTGTGTGTGTGTGTGTGTGTGTGTGTGTGTGTGTGTGTGTGTGTGTGATGACTGCAGTAACGCCTATTATTGACAGTGACCCGTGAGAAGAGACTCTTCAGTGCACGGACACAGAAAAAACTTTTTGGTTTGTTTTCGCTCCACAGAGACACAGTGTCCTAATTCCATACTAATTAATGTTGGTGTCTACAAAGGATCCATCTGAGACACAAAGCACATGTAGTGTAACGTGCAAACTGCTCTAAGCCTGGCAGGAGAAAAACATATTTTTTTGGGGAGAAATTGGACGGATTATGACCGTTTATTTCTCATCAACGTTAAAAATGGGAAGCCTGGAACGACCAGAGTGAACTCAGGTAACGGACTCACGACAGCACGACTCAAACAAAGGCTTTAGTTTGAAGAAAACATTATTTACACTCTGCATTTCTTCTTGGTTTTAACGCTGCAATGTTGCTGTCGTGGCTCATTCTTGTAGGATATTTCAAACTGTGCCACATTAACAGGGCTCCGCTTCTTCACTCACACGTTAAAAACCGTCCAAATAAACCTCTGCAGGTGCTGACTTATTTACTTCTTCCATAAAATTAACAAACAAATAAACGAAACATGATCAGTGTAACGTGAGGTCAAACACTGTATAACAGCTGATTATCTGGTTGATCACAATAAATCCAAACTATTCTCAGAATATTTAATTTAATACAAATCCATAAGTCGAAAGAATATTTTAAGACCTAAATTAATTGGAACATTTTAATTTATAGTCAACAGAAAAATAGGCTCTAACATTCCAGCCCCTAATTATAAGCAATT